GCCCAATGTCACGGTGAAGCTCACAGTCCCTGGAGATAGCTTTTCGAGGACTGAATGCTGGCTCCACCACTTACCAACTACGTGAGCTTAGGCACAGAACTTAAACTTTCTGTGCTTTGGTTTTATTAAAGGGGAAGATTAAATGAGATGATGTACACAAAATGCTTAAAGCTGTGCCTAACATTTGCTAAGATACACTATCATCATCTAATACTAATTGTGGAATGGCTTACTTCTCATGACACAGATGGGAAAGAAAACCAACTGGCAGCTTGATAAGAAGCTGGCCTAAAGAATGGAAGAAATGGCTACCTGGCTTTTAGGTCTGTAATCTTTTGTGAGTGGTAAAGGGCATCAACTTTTTTGAGCCCATTCAGACAGGGTTTATTTCAAAACATCAGGAAATGCTTACATAGCACCCATCAGGTGCTGGACAAATACTAACTCATTTAATCTTCCCTGACAACCCTTTGCTATTATTAACATATGCTCATTCTACAGATGAGGAACCACAGCAGTCAGGCTCCAGAGACCTGTGCGGCGCTGCTCTGGGATGTTGCCCACCTCCCCCTTCAGACAGGACTGCAACTGCCAAGCAAGTGACCTACACAGGCTGGAGCCCAGCACCAACCAACGGCGCGAGGCCAAACATTTTCTCACCAGTTTGCCCGGTTTAATTTTTCCCCCCATCAATTGGGCATAAGAGAAGTGACGGCTTCTTTGCCTGAATTGGGTTTAAAATGCACAGAAATTGATTTTCTTCTTAGGATTAGAAAACTGGGGGGCGCCTGTGTGGCTCAGTCATCGAGTGTCTGCCTTCAGCTCAGGTCATGATCCCAGGGTCCTGGGATCGAGCCCCACATCGGGCTCCCTGCTCAGCAGGAAGCCTGCTTCTCCCTCTCCCACTCCCCCTACTTGTGTTCCCTCTCTTACTATCTCTCTTTGTCAAATAAATAAATAAATAAATAAAATCTTTATTAAAAAAAAGGATTAGAAAGCTGAGAGAAAGAAAGCACCAGGGGCCACCAGGGCCACCTAGGTCACTCCTAGTTACATTGGCCAAAGTAAGGTCTGTAAACATTGTAAACATTGACTGTACTTGACGCTTCTTTTCTTTTTCTGGTAGCAAATGTAGAGTAAGAATTAAATTTGGTAAATTCCTGATTAGCCCATAGTGTGTTTCATTTTGAATGTATATTACCCGCCTTGGCAAAGTTTCTCCTCTTTCTGGAACTTCTGGAGCTACAAAGATTAAGTTTAATAAGTGCAGTGTTGGTTTGTTAATGAGAAAGGAAGAAGAGGGACTTCCCTAGGCAATTAAAAGCCCATGTTGCTTTTGACTCTATTGGAGTAACTCTAACCCATAACAGAATTGAAGCACAGGGACTGTGTCTTTGTCTGTACATTCTTAGCATCTTACACATAGTAAGTGCTCAGCTTGTGCTTGTTCCACTCAATTAAACCTGCACAGTAAAACAAAATGTGGTAGGTCAAACCCTCAACTGGGAAGAAATACATGGAATCTTATAGCTGAACTCTTAACAGCAGTTATCTTTGGGAGGTGAGATTCGAGTGCTTTTTATTTTCTTCTGTATACTTTTGATATTTCCTCCAAATCACAGCTTTAGTCTTTGCAGCAGAGGGTTGCTTATAGAAATGAGAACACTTCTATCTCATTCCTTTTTAAATTGTGGTTTTTATTTTTACAAAAATTATATGGACACATAGACAATCAAATAGTTGCTATGAAAACCAACAGGACTCCCTTCCCCTCTCTCCTATTTCCCAATCCACTGAGGACACCATTTTGGATTTTTTTAGTCAATTATTTTGATATTTATCTCCATATGTGTCAATAACGTGCTTATGTTGCTTGAATTTGATTTGAATATTTTCCATTCATTCTCACTGTGGGATCTCACTACAGGGGGATAAGACTTTAACCCATTTAGCCACCACTCCCCCCGCCCTGGGTGCATTCCAATTGGCCCCCATCCTTCTAGCTTAATTATTTGGAAATTTGGTCAGATTGATGCTCAGGGTTAACCTATGCTGACTATGTAAACAATTACTTTCGATTCCCCACACAACATTTTATTTTCTCTAGAGTTAATTATCTTTTTTTACTTGCTCAGTTTCTTATGTCTTTACCATTAAACTGACCCCCTCTTCTCCCCCCAATTTTGTAAATCACCTCTCGGTGTGTTCAAACACCTTAGGTGTTCTATAATTTCACCTTCTAGGATGATTTCTTGGGGCCTCTGGACTTGCCCCAAACTGGACTGATTTCTCTAGTAGGTCTGGCTACCCAGCTGCCATCTTGGGGTTTCCCTTCACTGCTATCCTAGAGATTTCTTTTGTCTTTTTCCTGTCTTGGATCCTTTGTTGTTGGGATCCTCATGTCTTCCTCTTTTTTAGTGAATTCCCTCATTTTGGAGTAGCTGCCTAACAAAGGGTGCTTGGGAGATAATTTGAGAGTTTCCATGTCTGAAAATCTCTTTATGTTCATATTTAATTGATCTTGGCTGGATGTGGAACACCAGCGTGGAAATCCCTTTCTTTCAGAAATTTTCAGGCATAGGTCCCCTCTCTTTGCCTCCATCATTGCTGCTGAGGAATCTGACACCATTCTGACTCTCAACCTTTTACACGAATCATGTTTTCTTCTCTGGAAGTCTGCAGGATCTTCTCTTTGTCCCCACGGCTCTTGACTTTCACTCTGACATGCCCCAGTGCCATAGTATGGGTCTGCTTTCACCATTACGCTGGGTGCCTCGTGGGCCCTATCAATCTGGAAACACATGTCCTTCATTTCTAGAAAATCCTACTGAATATTTCTTTGATAATTTTATCTCCTCCATTATTTCTGTGCCCTCTTTCTAGAATTTCTATTATTGGAGGCCTTGCTCCTTTAATTTTCTCTTCTGCACTCCATGTCTTTGCCTTTCTATTTAAAGAGAAATTGCCCCCTGCTTAATATTCTGGCCCTTCCATTGTATTTTCATTTATGCTCTTCTAATTTCCAGGAGCTCTTTTTTGTTCTGTGAATGTTCCTTTTTTAATAGCATCCTTTTCTTGTTTCATGTATGGAATATTTTTCTCTTAGCTTTCAAAGATATGGAGAGTGTTTTGTGTCTGTTTCCCCCTTGCATTTTCTGCTTCCTGGAGGTGACTTTATTCTGTCAGCTCATTTGGGTCTCTATCTTTCACACTAGATGTTTTCTTCTACTGTCTGTTGATCCTTAGCTAGTTGCTCACATTTAAGAGCAGCAGGGAGCTAAAGAACGGCAAATTGGTAGCACTTATAATCAATGATAATCTTCACTGTTTTGTTGTCACTGGCTTATTTCAGTGGATCCCTAATATCAGCATCCTAGAACATTTGTTTCTTTTGGATTTGTCTGATTCCCCAGAGAAGATTTTCCAGTCTTCCAGCTGGAGGGCATATGTCTGGCTGCCTCCATTTTGGTTGCCAAATGCAGAAAGACTGAGCTCAGGGTTTCATCACTCACTATGTACATTTTCACTTCATCACATTTCCAGAACAATACCCATGCCCCCCACTCTTATCTAGATACTCATTGTTTTTACCCCCTCTTCCCAGGTGTGAGAGGGACAGTCGCTATACTTATCTGGGAGGGGGGTTTGATGGTCTGTTTCTTAAATAAGTTTTCAAGCAACCCTTCTTTTCTCAGGCCCTCCTCTACCCCCACTTCCAGAGACGTCTAGGGCCCCAATTCTTCGGCCCTATGTGAGTTCTTCAATTAAATTGAGTTGCTTGTTAGGCTCCCCATTGCTGGTGTGTTATTCAGTATTTTCTCTTTTTTAAAAAAAGATTTTATTTATTTATTTGAGAGAGAGAGAGAGCACAAGCAGGGAGAGTGGCAGGCAGAGGGAGAAGCAGACTCCCCACTGAGCAGGGAGCCCGACATGGGGCTCAATCCCAGGACCCTGGGATCATGACCTGAGCCAAAGGCAGACACTTGACTGACTGAGGCACCCAGGTATCCCTGTTATTCAGTATTTTCAATTCTGCTAAATCATTTACCACTCGTCCACTTGCTTTCTCCTAAAATTTCATTGCTGTGAGTCTTGTCTTCTTCCTTGTGGGTTTATTGTCTTTATCTTAAAAAGTATTTTACTATCATTTTAGGGGATTTTCAGTGGAGAACAGATACAAATCAGTGTGTTAAAGCTGCCAATATTTATTGTTTTTCTTACTACCCGATTACAAAAGTCACAATGTGTACACAAATTCTGGCAAACGGTTTTTGAAGGTGTTGGTGACACCTACCCTGAATAGGCTGAAAAGCAGGGAGAGGCTGCTTATCACAGAGTCTAGAACCTTAATGTTCTAAAACATGTTGTGTAGATCAGCTTTATTGTCATTACCTGGGAATTTATCTTAAAATGCAAAATCCCAGACACTGCATCAGACTTCCTAAATCAAAATCCATATTTTAACAAGATTCCCAGTTAATTCATAGCCAAATGAAAAGTTGAGAAACACTGGACCATTATAATAACCCTGATCATTCCATTCAACAGTATTAGGTTATGTTTTGAAAATCAATTGGCCAGAATCCTTCGACTTAAACTCACACAACTATCCTTAGGGATATGACCTAAGGGAAACAATGGTTAGTCACAAAAATTGAATGATGATCCAGAACTGGTCCAGGGATTTCAAGCTTTGACCATAATTATGCCAGTTAGCAGGGTAAAGACTGTCTAGGTTACTCAAAAAGAATGCCAAACACAGACACAGTTTACTTTAGCAGAAAAAGTGTAAGGGCATATATGTCTTATTCATCTTATTGGGAATCAAATTTTAAAAAGAAAGAATAGGTTCTTAGTATAAGAGACTGGTAAGTAAGTGATATTGACAAAAGATTTAAAAAGTCAATTTTCCCTTGCCTTTGCCAACACTTTGACTTCTAAGAATTAGAGGGAAGCACCTGCTGCCTTGAAAATAAATTCGTCTATTCTCTCAAATCCAGGTCCCGTCCAGATCCAAGAGATTAAACATCAGAAGAGAAGCTCACAGACTGGAATTTGGTCATTCAGGGCAAGGAGGGGAAGGAAGTATGCTCCAGGAAATCTCCTAGAGCTGGAAGAATGCATCTATTAGCTCTATACCATTTAGGAATAAAGGATAATAGCTACAGATTGAGTGCATTGACCTTAGATGAGCAAGGCCGACTCCAGTGAGCTAATGGCTAGTAAGATTCGCCAGTTCTCTGGGATAAGGGAGACTGTCAGGTTTGCAGGACAAGTTAATGCCATGGGGAACAGAATTCATAAGAGTCAACCGGCCGAGATGAATTACTGCTAACCATCGCTGCAGTAGAGAGTAAAGCACTTGCGTAGAATCGGTCTGGAAAATACAAGCAGGGAGAGTGTGTGGCTGGAAGTCTCACTGGGAAGCTACGTAGGGACATGGCCAGTGCCCAATCCTGCTGCATCTGCTGGAAGAGTCCTGGGCTGAGCTCTGCAAGAGGGGTTTTTCCTTGCGCAGGCAGAGATTCCGTGAACAGAAAGAGAACCATGTCATGTGCAGAAGAGTGCCGAGGCTGGTTCAGTCAAAACCGCGATGCCAGGGTGCAGCCGAGTAGCTGATCAAAGGACAGCAACAGCGGCAGCTCATGTGCAAGGAATGGCAGAGGCATGCTGGACCAGGTGTGAGGAGATGGAGGAGAGCAGCACAGAACAAAGACCAGGAGTGGTTTCCCTTGATTCCTGTGAACTCAGCGGTAGCTACTTTAAAGAGCTACCTGAGGTCAGATCACTGGCTGATGGGGATTTCCACTGGACAAGTTCCAGAGAAGAAGGGAATGCTTTCTGCAGACAGGGTCTCTAACTGGGAAAATGGAAGTTTGGTCAACAATAGCATTATATGAGTGGCATAATCACTGTGAACTAGCACCTGAAGCTTACCGAAGCTATTTTTCAGAGACAAACCTGTTCAAAATGGAATCCTTTTCTCTCTTGGAAAATGGAAAATGAGTTGAGTCCTCACTCTAACAAGGCAGAGCATAGGGGTGAAGGGGCGCTTTCTTCCAGGGAAGGATACTGTACCTGTCACCCAAGGATGGATGCAGTCAGCGCTAGGACTGTGTGTTAAGGCGAGAAGGCGAGAATGTCTTCATTTGTACAAAGGAAGTTGCTGCTTGTCATCCAAGGCATAAAGCTGTTTTGTTCTTTTATGGAAGCTCAAAATACATAGAAGGATTGAGTGGATGCTGAGTTGCCAAAGGGATGGAACGCACTGGTTATGAGCTATTTTCTCTAAGCTTCTACCCTTCTGTGCTCCACTTTACGCTGCTCTGCCTGGAACCCTGCAAACCAGATTTCTCTTCTGCCCGCTCTCCCTGTTAGGGTCTCCTACTAGAGGCTCTACAGGGTGGCTTGAAGGCTGGAGGGCTGAGGGATTTATTCCCTCCGGTTTGCTTTCTGCAACAGTCATTAGCTGAAAAATAGCTTCGGTAAGCTTCGGGTGCTAGTTCACTGTGATTCTTCCACTTGTATAATGCTATGTTGATCAAACTTCCGTTTTCCCAGTTAGAGACCCTGTCCGGTGGAAATCCCCATCAGCTGATGATGTCAGTGTCAGCCTAGCAACCGTTCTTCACTGGGCCAGCAACCCCTGACTTCAGCAGCAATCCTGGACTGCAGGTTGTAGTTCTTCCCTCCACTCCGTAAACAAGCCTGATGATGCCCCTCAGAGATACCACCGCCAGCAAGTTGGCACCTTCTCCCGAGAGGTCCGGATCCCTGTGCTGCAGAGACTTCCTCAGAGCTCTGACAGGGCACAATCACCAGTCAGCCAGTGCCGCATCCGCCAGGGTCTGAGTTCCAGCTCCTCGCGAGTCTCTCCTTGGAGCACGAAGCTCCACATTTTCCCAACATCCTTTCTTTCCAGCCCTGGGAGAGGCATTTGCTTCCTGCAGTTACCCCTTCAGAAAATTTCAGTGTTCCCTTTCATCTTTTACATCTCTCAATCACTGGTTAACAATTCCATGTGTTAAATTCTCTCTCTTAAAATAACTGCAGTCGCATGGAGCACTGGGTGTTATGAACAAACAATGAATCATGGAACACTACACCAAAACAAATTATGTAATATATGGTGATTAACATAACAATAAAAAAATTAAAAAAAATAATAACTGCAGTCGTTTCTATTTTTCTACTCAGGTCCTAACTGATACTTACACCTCTGGCTTTTCAGACATCCTCACACACTCTTTTAGGAGATTAAGCCCCTTCCCCGGTTGAAAATCACTGCTGTAATTAGGCTGCCCACATGTCCCAGTGTGCCTGGAACAATACTGATGCATGCCTGTTGTCCTGGCATAATTAGTAATAGTGTCATGAAATACATATAAAGGTATAGTCATCAAAACAGTATGGTACTGGCATAAAAATGGACACAGAGATCAATGGAACAGAACTGAGAGTCCAGAAATTCATGCAAAATGGTCAAATATTTGACAGGGGAGTCAAGAACACTCAATGGGGAGAGGATAGTCTCTTCAATAAGTGGTGTTGGGAAAACTAGATATTCACGTGCAAAAGAATGAAATTGGACTCCTTTCTTACACCATTGACAGAAATTGACTTGAAATGCATTAAAGACTTAAATGTAAGACCTGAAACCTTAAAAGCTCCTTGACATTCGTCTTGACCACAATTTCTTGGATATGACACCCAAAGAAACAAAAGCAAAAACAAGACTCTGAAATACCAGCAGGAGAGGGATACGTGTTCACTGCCAAAGAATCTGACAGAGAAATTATACCCAGAGCTGAGTCTCTGTGAGCAGCCCAGACATACTGTCTATCAAGCTGTAATTGTCAGGAGAAGCTCCTGGTTGGCTGGGAGATTGGCTTGCGAAGTTCAAAGTTTGCTTAGGCAATAATCAGTTACAGAAAAAAAATATTATGATGATTATTTTTAAATGTTCGAAGCTGACATGGTCTGTTTTATAATTGTGTTAAAGGAAAAATGAGTTTTAAGTCCACTATAGAAATTACATAATGGAGAGAGCAAACCACCATAAAAAATGGAGGGCAGGAAAAATGTCTTTCAAATAGAGCATTCAAAGCAAATGGATTAACTCTCATGCACAAAAAGGAAAAGTTAAAAAAAACTTTTTAAAAAGGAAGAGTTAAGCAGGGATATTTTTCAGTGATCCAATAATTTGCTGGCAACAAGATTCACAACTTAGACACTAACGAGAATTAGAAGGTCTAAGATCTATCATGTCAGTGTAATTTAAGAAAGTCAGGTATTATCATCATAAATGTTTTCTCTTTGAACAGAATACAATGAGCCAAGATCTTTAGAGTTTAATCTGTGGTTTCTCCATTATCTGTGCTGGAATGTTCCTGGACAGAGCTGGGAATCCAACCCTTCAGTGTGTCACCTAGAATTGCACAATGGGCTAGCCTTACTCAGCAAACTTAAAAACTTGTTCTGTGGGATACTAACTAGAATTTGCAAAATCTTCTCTTAATAAATGTTTATCACATCCTCCTTCCATGTGATTGGATACTGTCAGTATGTGAATGTCTTGCTGCCACTGCTGTTTCACTCCCCTGCTCCTGGTGGAGTTATACTGACTACTGGCCTAGATGCACATGATTACTTGGTCTGTGTCCTTGCTGTCTGCCCAGTGTCCTTGTACCTTGAATTTCCTAATCACATGAGCCAATACATTTTCTTTTTGCCTACGCTACTTTGAGTTGGATTTCTGTCACTGTCAAACAACGAGGCCTGACTAATGTTCCTGGTAAGCCTTGTTCAAGGTCTCTGTGGCTTTTAGTAAAATGGAGAGAGTAAAATCTTAAAAATTAACATATATTTTTTCTTGGGGAACAGATGTATGAATGTATAATTATTTTTTTTAAGTTTAGAAGGATACACATCAAACTAATAATAGTGGGTTATTTCTGGAGATAGAGTTAGGGAGCAGAATGAGGGGTTGATGATCAAAAGAGCTTTTTTTTCCCTGCAATGTTCTATTAAAAAAATAAGAATGTAGTCATAGTTGTGACTTTTAAATTAGTAATAAATAACCATTTTCAAAAGCAAGGTTCACTTTTCCTCTTCTGTACCAGCCCATTCCTGAATCATTCAGTCTTAAAGCAAGGTTAAGCCTGCACATTGGGTGGAGATGGTGGTGTGTGGCAGGAGCCACAGTGGCCAGAAAGAAATGTCAGGATCCAAACTAGTTAGAGAGGGAGTCCAGGAAGGAAGGCTGCCTGGTGTGAGATATTGGAGCCCAAAGAGGAATGTGAAGGGAATATGCACATAAAAAGGGGCACAGGGAAATTTGTTATATAGAAGGGCTTTGCTCAAATAGGTAAATCTACTAAGGAAAATGAAAACAAAAGTTTTCATGGAGAAGGGAGTAGGAAATATGGAAAAGGAGAAAACTAGAATGAACTCTGAGAAGTTGGACTGTAATTGAAGGTATCTGAGTGAAGTCAAGTTTTTCAATAGTGATAGATGATAGATGATGATAGATGATAAATAGATAGACGATAGATGATAGAGATTTTCAAATGAGTATGTTTGTGTGTATATGTGAACATCTACCTCTATTCCCTAACTCTCTCACTGAGAGGTCTTGGGAGCAGCAACATCCCAATAACCATGAAACACCTGGCACCCAGATCCTGGCTCTAAATACCATTCACCAAAAAGAAACAAGATACTGATTTCAGGGCTGATGCTGGAAAGTACGAGATAAACCTGGAATACATTTTTGTGCCAGAAAGTAAGGAATTGCTCAAAGAATGACAGGGACATGACAAATGGGCACAGAAGGTGGTTTGAAGAGGGGGCTCACTGGTTAAACAGGTGACAAAATAAATATTAAAGTTAATAGAAAAGAACCAGTGGAATAAAATGGGAAACCACGGGGTGCCTGGGTGGCTCAGTCGGTTGAGTGTCTGCCTTTGGGTCATGATCCCAGGGTCCTAGGATGGAGCCCTGCATTGGGCTCCCTGTTCAGCCTGCTTCTCCCTCTCCCTCTGCCTGCTGCTCCCCCTGCTTGTGCTTGCACACTCTCTCTGCCAAATAAATAAATAAATAATCTTAAAAAAAATAAAATAAGAAACCACAAGTCCATATTGATATTAATTAGTTAATGGGGAATAGAATATTTACATCATTACACAGTTACCTCCCCTACAAAATACTTACTAGTTACCAAGGAAAAGAAAGTAACTTTACAGGGGAGAAGTTTCTCAGACACCACCTGAATCAAGTGATGGAAGTGAACTTGGTCAGTAGTAGTACAAACTGAAATCATGCACCACCTGAAATGATACAATGAGAGGAACATAGCTTCACCTGTGTGATATTCCTGCCAAAGAAGCCTAGCCCGGATCCAGCCATGAGGAAAAAGCGTAACACATCCAAACTGGGGTGCATTCTACAGCAGAACTGGTTTGCAATCTTCAAAAGTGTTCAGGTCATGAAAATCAAGGAAAGACCAAGGAACTGTTTCAGATGAGGGCCTAAGATTAGACGGTAGTAATGTAACAATGTTAATTTCCTGATCTTGATGGCTTATGTAGAATGATGTTGCTGGTACAAAATACAACTAAAGTATTCAAGGGTGACGTGGCATCCTGTTAGCAACTTGCTCTCAAATAATTCAGGTAAAAAATAGTTTTTTATGCTGTATTTGCAGCTTTTCTGTGTGTCTGAGATATTTAAAAAAAAACAAGGTTCATAACAG